CTGGATTTGGCTTAGTTTCTCCCATCTCCAATACAACTGGAATTCTAGAGCCTTGCTGTGTTTATTAATTCCGTACTGACTAATTAGCAGCCACTACTATGTACCAGTTGGTGGAAAATGTGAATAAAACAGATGGGAATGTCAACAAAATGTTGGTGTTTGAAATACTAGCTAACCATATCCTTTTCCAAGACATATATCCCAGTCCCTCTTCAACCTCATTTTTCCATTTCTCTTCTTACTAACTCAGATGTTCTGTAACCACTGAGCACTGTTAATTTTTTCTTGATTGTTTCTCAATATCTTGTACTTCTGTTTTTATGTTTATATGCGTGTGGAGCTGTATTTCTGCAAACTCTTAAGATTTTCCAACAACCCTGTTGCTCCTCCTGCTCAGAGATCAGAATGGGATCAGGGACCACCTGTATTTGTTTGCCAGTGTTCCACTTTACAAATGAACATCTCAAAGGGCTGCCAAAGGAACATCCTCCCTTTGAAAGACATGTGACACAGGAGCACCACATTAACAGTGAGCAGCTGTAGACATAGACACAGGAACACAAGTCACAGCTTTTCCCAGTATGGTGGAATGTAAGGTATTAATTCTTAAATTTAATTCCCTGTTTCTTTTCTGGCAAAAGATTAGGTGGCCTCTCCTGTTCACAAATACAACTAAACAACTGCAATGGGAGTAAAACAGAAATGGAACAGCAAAGGTATTAAGCTCTTTGTAAGGTACAATTATAATAGCTGAGATCCCCAGTATCGGTAATAATATCTCCGAAAAGCCCTTAAAATATTTCAAGACCTGGAGAGATAATGTGAAGCAAATAGCAAAACACCTAAAGCCTTTCCCTCCACACTAACTGGATAAGTGAAATGTTTTTTTTTTCTTGTCTGATTTTCCACATTTGACAGTAATACTAGCAGCAATCACTTCTAAAATGAAGATCAACTTCAGTAATGCTTCACTGCATATTTGCATTTGTTTGGGAATAAATCTCCTAAATGGGTGAGATTTTCTCCTTTGGAGGAAAGACTAAAATATTTGGAGCTCTTTGAGATTGGGGGCTGGAGCCTAGTGACTTGATTTTGCAAGGCAAAAAAGCTACCCCGGGTTTAAGTCTTCATAGGAGCTCTCCAAGGCTCTGAATCCTACTCCTGAAGCTGAATCAACTTTGACAGTGCCTCTGTAGTTCAGATTAAAACCCAAAACAGACAGACTCACTATCTTTGCTCCTGCCTCACTTGTTGTGAAAAGAATATGATTAAGCAGAGTTAGAGAAAGACAGATTAAATGTTTTGTGTGGAAAGAGTGGATAGGGAGACTTCCCTCTTTTTCTCATAATATTAGAAGAACTTGGTGCCATCCAATGAAGCTGAAAAGTGTAAGATTCAGAACATATAAGGGGGAGTACTTCTTTACACAACATGTAAGCAAAAGATGTTGTGACAAGCACCAAGGTGGGCAGCTTTAAAATGAGATTAGATACACTCATGCAAGATAAGACTATCAGTTGTTACTAGACATGATGGCTATATACTGCCTTCAGTGTTGGAGGGATATGTTTCTGAAGTGAGTTGACAGGGAGCATGGGCAGGAGGATGCTGTTGCCCTCATGTCCTGCTGGTGGGCTTCTCATAGGGATCTGGCTGGTCACTGAGGGAACACAATGCTGGATTAGGTATGCCTGAATCAACAGAGCTCTTCATTCTTGTAACTTCTATCCAGATAAGCACATATATATAATCAGGTTGCCATGAATGATCAAAATGCCAGATACCTAAAGGCTCGGTATAGACAGTAAGACGTTTAGAAAGTCGAGAGCATTTTACAAGATGGTGATTCTTCCACAGTTGATAGTTTGTCTGTATGCATCTCAGTTTTGGCCCTAAGAAATAGATTTTGTAGAGGTTTGTATTGTTTATCCTCTATTAATTCACTCTGTTGCCATGCCCTCTCAATGGCAGAAGTGAATAATTTTTTCCTCATTCACAGAGGAGTGGGTTGAAAAAGCTGCCTTGCTTCATAGGTTCAACACCCAAACGCAGCAAATGAATAGCAGTATATAAACACATTGGTATCAAGTAACATTATGTGTATACTCTCCTGCAGGGAATCAGATGATATGGCATGGATTTATGTAGCTCTACAAACTTACAAGGAAGAATCATGGTGATAGGAGTAACGGACAAAGGGTATCAACTGGCATATATAAATAATATATGGCTACCTGAACAGCCGGTCCAAAATTTGCCTCACACAGTGGAGTAGGCCTCAAACTGTGAAGTAGGCCTCATGCAGTGGAGTAGGCCTCACACAGTGGAGTAGGCCTTGCCTCGCACGGGGCACCAGATGCGGCGGTCCGGCCGCCACACAGGTGCGAAAGAATCACACAGGACACAAAAATCAGGACCAAATGGGTTCCAGAGCCTAACAGTCAGCCGTGGTGTATTGTGGCTTGAGGGGAGAAAAAACTCCTCCCTGCACGCCTGTAGCCCTTCTTTTATTCAACACAAAATGTCCTCCAATACAGGGGTTATACAGCCAATCGCCATACAGTATACACAGCCAATCGCCATACAGTATACAAACTTACATAACATATCTTCTCACTGAGCATGCTCAGGGCAGTACAGCATTACCATATATGGCATATAACATAAGTTCCCTAGCTTGCTGGTGTATGTAACTGCTTCACTTAGCATATATAAATAATATATGGCAAAAGATACTGACAAAAATTGTATTGATATTTCACATACATGAAAGCAGACTCATACAAGCTGCCCTGGCTAAATGCAGCTTGTAGACAAGATGTCGCAACCTACATGATTCTTCTTGCATGCATGTAAAATCCAGGGAGTTTGGCCACTGTCATCTGGTGAAATTTTCATTTGGTAAATACTGTAAGATGAAAAAATGAGACCTTTGTTTTTTGAAAATATTCTATGAATTTGTCTTTACTAGTTTTGATGGTAGGTAGGTTATGATCAGAGAGGGAAGATGCCAGAGAAGATGGCAGTGCTTGGCTGACAATTTGCTCCTCATTTCAACCTTTATTAAATGTGTTTATTGGAAGTTGCAGAGTAATACAGGAACAGCTGTATATAAATATTTCTCTTTTGAGGAAAAAATGAACAGAAACCAGAATCAATTTCAGTTCGCAGAACAAGAGTGTAATAATTTTGGTCATATTTTAAGTGAAATTATATAAGTATATGATGCAAATTACAGTATTTTTTAAAAAAAAGGAAAATAAAACCACAGTTTCTGTGTAGATCTTCACCACCACTCCCTCTGTTAGAGCAGGTATTTCTTATCAACTCAACATGGTGAAAAAGCAAACTTGGAGCTATACAGGTATTAGTAACCAGGAACAATTTATGATGCACAATGATTTGCAGGATCTCCTGGACAACAGTACAGTACTTTCTTTTCCCAGGCTTATGGGTATAAAATTGTTGTCTCCCTTGAGAAACTCTAACCTTTGTCCCAGAAACAATCCAACACTTCTGACCGGTATACAGCTCATCACCCTCACTGGGACCTGCAAGTAATTAACCAACCCGTTACTTTCCCTATTATCTGCTCATGGAGATAGATATGCATGCATTTGGACGCTCGGTGTTCGAAATAAGTGGATTTTGTTCCGCACTGAAGTAAATACTTTACAGTGGCACAGTATTAAGCCTTTTTCTCTTTTACCAGCCGTAGCCTTTGAGGTCACGGAGGCCAAAGATATACGGAAACCCATGTGACATTGGGGAATCGGGGTCATTCGGGGTCAACCTTCAAGTGACATCCGGGATCTTCCAAACTGAGCAGAAGGTCCCGCCTCCTGTTCATCCGGAGGCGCACAGGATTCGTTCCAGCGGAGATACCGCCCCCCGTTCGTACAAAGACTGCACATGCGCAACTTTTTCTCTTCTACACAGCCCCCCACCGTTCTACACATGCGCACAAAGCGAGTGGAACCCGAAGGAAGGGACAGGCCTTTGTTTCCTCTTACGCATGTGCAGTGAAGCCATTGCCGGAGGAACGCCCCCTCTCTTTCCCCGCCCCGAGAGCTCCAACCAGGAACTCAAGCGAGCGCTTTCGTTTCTCCCAATTGGTCCAGGGGGAAAGCGGGTGTGGGGGAAAGGGGGGCGGCCGAACTGCCCGTGGTCACGCGGGAAGCGTGCGCGCGCCAGGCGCCCAGCGGGGGGGCGGAAACCGCGCGCCAGGCGCAGGCGCAGTGTGAAGCCCCGCCCTCCACCAGGGACTCATTGTGCAGCAACCGGGATTGACTCCGTCTCCTCCGCGCGGGCCAGCGGGATCCATACTTTCCCCCCTCCCCCCACCACCACCTCAACAAGCAAGTGCATCCGAAACGAGACAGAAACCATCTGGTCCTGCAGCGGAAGGGGTTTGAGGCCAGTTCGTGTCGGGGCCCTTAACGCCAACATCACCACCGCCGCCGCCGCCACCACTCCCCCCTCCCTTTCTTCATCTGTCTCCTCTCTCTCTCTCCCGCGCACGTTTCTCTCGCCTGTTTCAACCCAACCCTCTCTTTCGCCCCACAGCCCGCGCGCCTGGGTCTCCTCGCGAGGACCCTTCACGCTCAAGCGCCGCCTCTCGATTGGCTTCCAAGCGCTCGAGAGAGACTTTAAACTTCTTTTTTTTTTCCCTCACCTCTCCTCTCCCCCCCTCCTGCTCAGAGGGGCTGGGCAGCCAGGGAGGAAGGAGCCGCGCGCCGCCAGGAACCCGCTCCTTGGCATCGAGTCGGCTCGAGGCCTATTAAGTTCCCCCGGCGGCTCTTTGGGGCTCGCGCTTCTGCAGTGCGCGCGCTCGCTCGCTCGCGCTTCCTCTTCTCTCTCTCAAGCGCGCGCCCAAGCGAGACTAACGAAGCACAAGGTTGGAGGGCGGCGGGCGGTTTCGGAGGTCCGGCCCCCGCCAGACAGGCTCCCCCGCCCCGCCTTTCTTCTTCTTCTCTCTCTCTCTTACCACCCCCCAACGCCCGCCCCGCTCTTTCTCCTCTGAGCGTTTTAACCCCTCTTCTCTTCCGCGACGGCCAACCGGCCTGCCCGTTTCCCCTTCCGGGCCAGCAGCCGGAGCGCGCGGCGTCAGCCGGACGGAGCTGTGGAGGCCCCTTGCGCGCTGCCCGCCGGGTGACCGACCCACGGCGGGTGCCCTTTTCGCCTCGGCCTCGCCTCCAATCCCCCCTCTCCCTTCCCCGCGCCACGACCGCCGCCGCCTTCCTGCTCTTCTCTTCCCCGGGTTGCCTCCTCGCCCGCCGGGCTTTTCTTCTCCGCGCCCCCTTGGCCAACTGCCCTCCCGCTCAGGCTGAAGGGAACGGGCGGACCTGAGCCTGCGGCGTTCGCCTCCCTCTTCGGTGCCGCCGGCGGGGCCACCGCCATGTTGAAGCAGCCGCTGCCGCCGCCCTCTCCTCAACCGGGCTCGCCGGCTTCGGGGCCCCCGCCGCCCTCCACACCAACGCCGCCGCCCTCCTCCTCCGCCGCCGCTGCCAACGCCGCCGTCGTTTCCCGCAAAACGAACCCAGCGCCTGCCAGCCCCAACGGGAGCCTCAGCCCAGGCACCACCACCACCGGCGGCGGAGGAACCCGAGCCACCACCGTGGCGCCTCCCGGCAGCAGCGGCGGCGGAGGCGGCGGCACCCCTGGAGGAAGTGGAACCAGGTACGTTTAAAGTAAAGGAAGGACAACGGGAAAGGGGGGGGGGCTTGCTTGAGAAACGGGTTAAAAAAAAAAGAAGCCGAACATCCGGGGAATTGGAAGAATGGGAGGCGTGAATTGGGTGTGTGGGGGGGAAGAGGACGGGAAAGACAAGCCTGGGAGCTCCCGCGCTCGCCCGCCCGCTCGCTCTGGTGCGCGCTCCCGCGGGTTGAAAAGAGGACTTGGCCAGGCGGGGAGAGAGGAGAAAAAAAGAAAAGGGAGTGTGTGTGGCTCTGATAAGCGGAGCTTGCGAGGAGGTCTGCCGCCGATTGGGCGCCGCAGCCCCGGAGGGCGCCCCTCCCGACGAGGAGGAAGAGGAGGTAAGGACTGGGGAGGGAAGCAGGGAGGAGGGACCCACTGATCCCCGGTTAGTGAGGGTGTCGTTTGGTGTGTTGTGTTTTTTTTTTAACCCTGTGGATGGATAAGAGCCCAAGAGGATGCCCACTCACCACGCCCATGCCTTGAATTACAGGGTGGTCTGTCTCATTGCATTTTACACTACAGGGAAGAGGAATAGGATCGGCCTTGGAACATGGTTTTCACATGTATTTTCTTAGGAATACTGTAGTGTAATGGAGTTTTGCAATGAGGAGTTAGAATTAGAATGATGCATAATGTGATCTCTGTCCCAAGTGTGTGTGTGCTTTGAGCCGTCAGGTCAGTGCCAACTTGTTCAAACCTTGTACAGCCTTAACACGGCTTTTACGATAACAGAGATATTTATGGAGTGGTTTTATTAGTTCCACTCCTCCAGTGAGTTTCCATGGCCAAGAGGGGATTTGATCCCTGTTCTCCAGAATCCTAACCCATCGCTATCCTAACCCGTCGCTCTATCCACTACCCCACTTTGGGAATTCAGTCCCAAGTAAGTGGGTGCTTTAGGGTTGACTTGTAGGGTGAATAGTTGCTTCATCTTGTTTAGTGTAGGGTAATTTTTGTTTCTGGTCAAACTACCATACACTCTTGTTTCTTCTCTATTCATGTTCAGTACCTGTGGTAGGGTATGTCAGGCAGTGTTCATGTTTGCACAAGTACATTTTCTATATGAGAAAAATGGGCTGGAAAAATGCGTTTGAGCCATAAGGGGCATGGGAATAATGTGGGTTTCAGTTTTGTCCTGATCTCAACAGCAAGTCAGGAGTTTTCATGACTACTCTGCTTTGAGAGGAAGTAAGTCATAGGAATCAGTGTAGGAGTTCACAATCCAGCATTGGACCCACTTTACCATTCTAGCTCAGTTGCTACTTAACTCTCTGAATTTGAATGATATATTTCAAACTTGTTTGGACATGTTTCTAACAAGTTGTGTAATTTGTTTTCAAATTGAGGTGATTTTTCAGTTTAAATATATTAGGGGGTAACAATCACATGGAACTTTACGTGGCTGCTTTTTTCACATATAAAAAGGATTGTGGTGTTGGGATTCTCAGTTAGAAAGAATAGCTTGTTTGTTTATGATGTAGGATGTGCTCCCATGTCTCTAACAAACTTTTACTTATGTATTGGGAGTGATTTTCAGATTACTTTTGCTGTCATGTACGGGTTCTTTGTCCTTTGAAATCAAGGGTTTCTCTATTTTATTTTTATTATTCTAGATATATTTGGTAAGACGACTCGTGATTAGACCTGTCATGAGCACACTCAGTTTTATATTGCATGGTGATCTGGTGCCCTGCTGGTTTGAAGAATACTGTATTTAGGGTTGGCAGGGTCATATTGCTTTCTTGCGAGTTACCCCTTGTGCCTGATTCCTTTTCAGGGGACAGAGCACAGGCAAAGGACCTCCACAGTCTCCTGTAAGTACCATGAACTGAGCCTCCCAAGGCCATAAGATAGTTTCTGTGTATTCGGAAAGCTAACTTGTTTGACTTGTATAAATGTTACATGACATCTGGGATCTCAGTAGTTATTCTGTCTCAGTAATTAACATTGATGTTTAGTGAATCTGCTGATTTTATCTCCCTTTCTGTGATTTTCATTTTATTTTATCCTCCGATACTGGTAGTAGCGTGTACAGAGTCTCAGAATTTCATGTCATTGCCAACTGTTTTCTTCCAGGTTATCTTATAGAGCCAGGAATGGTGGCTCTGGCTTTGGACTCAAATTCCCATCATTCCTGACCTTTGTCCATATAATTTGGCACTGATGGGCGTTGTCACAGTTCAGCATCTTCCCACTCCCCTAATAGAATCACACAGCAATCCTGTATGGTTATGTTTTGGGAGTAAAGGAGGTTACTCATAATTGGCTGTCAGTTCATCTTTTTGGAAAAGTTTATCAGGGCTATTAAAGTCAAATCACTGTAAAACACACATTTTGTTTAGAAATTCAACATGTAACAGTAGAAAGAGGTACACAAGTTATGTTGTTTGTGTCTTACAAAACATTTATTTGAGTGTTTATAGCAAGTGTTTAACTAGGCAAAAAGTCCTAGTACAATCTGCTGTTTCTGCTTCAGACTGTCTGACACAAATGAAAACAAAGCGGCAGAGCAGAATCCATTTATGAGCCCTTCCCTACAGGAGTACTAACTGTTAAGATTGTTAATGTGTTAAATCCTCCAATTTCCAGGTCTTTGAGGGTGTCTATAACAATTCCCGAATGTTGCACTTCCTGACAGCAGTTGTGGTGAGTTTCCCAAAGATAAACTTAATAAGAAAGTAGGATCCAAAGAATAGTCCAATAGATGTATGGTTGAATAGTGGAGGGTGGTACTTTCCAGTCCTTTCTCTTGATCTAAGAAATCTTGCAGAATATGTATATGTAGAGCTGAATTGTTCAGTAGTGCTATTAGTACATTTATTTTCTAGTGTATTTCTCATCTTAAAAATCTCAAAACAATTTACACAAACAGCAGACCCAGAAAAACTGGTGATTCAAAATAAGAATAGAATAAAGAAAGTTTAAAACTTCATTGAAAATGTAGGAATCAGGAAAATAATGGAAATACCTGGACAAAGAATCATGCCATTTTTTCTGGTGCTGTAGTAAATGAAGAAAACTGCTGTAAGGATGCGGGATTGATAGATTTTAATTCGAAAATAGGGACATGGATATTTGTATATTAGGACTACAATTTCCAGAATTAGCATCATAGTCATACTTCAAAGTTGCCCATCTTTAATTTGAACAACCATTTTTTGTGTTAGACTGTCCAGTATCCTCTTCCATAGGTTTGCTAGCCCAGCAGGAATGATGTCACCAGTTGCAGCAGATTGCCACTAGTTAAACAGTTCTTGCTTTGATTTCAGGTTGCACAAGACTTTTTCTTATTGTGCATGAGTCGTGTGCAACCAGAAATAAAAGCAGGACCTCTTTAAATAGTGGCAATCTGCTGCAACTGGGGACATCATTGTCACTCTATTGGCAGAAGAGGTTACTGGCCATTATCGAGCTTCATTATATGATAACTTTTTTCAACAAAAGTAATTTTAAGAAGAATGAATAAATTATAATATTACAGCACCATTACATGTATAACAATAGGAAAGTAGTTGTAAAAAGAATGAGTTAAGTTATAGTACCCTGTTTCTCTGAAAATAAGCCCTAGTACGATTTTTCAGGATGCTCATAATATAAGCCCTAGTTAAGTGAAACCCCACCCTCCACCATTGTGCAGCAACCAGAACAAGATGACATGACTGTGTTTGAATAAATGTAGATTGTTGTACATGAAAAAACATCCCCTGAAAATAAGCCCTAATGCGTTTTTTGGAGCAAAAATTAATGTAAGACCCTGTCTTATTTTTGGAGAAACGCAATATTAAACTGTAAGGAAATGCATAATAATAAATTCTTAATTTAAAGCAATAGGAACATAGATTTTATATATATATATTTAAAGGGAGGCCTGTATTCTCCATCAAAAGCTTCTTTCTCTGCAGCCTATTTAAGTGCCAAAAATGTGCTTGAAAAGAAGGACCCTTTGCCTCTTGGTATAAGGGAGCTAGGGAGGAAACCAAACTAGTGTAACCCTCAACCTCCGAGTATTATTTCCACCTTCTTTTTTCCCACCAGGGATCCACATGTGATGTGAAGGTGAAAAATGGAAGCACATTTGAGGGGATTTTTAAAACCTTGAGCTCCAAGGTGAGTGAGTACTTTTCTGGCTCATCTGAGTAGGAAGAAAAATTATTTGCTCTGTTGACTTAATGTTGTAATTCTGTATGTGGCAGTAAACAAGATGCCAGAAAAGGAAAAGTACAGTGATGTTTAAGAAGGCAAGAATGAAACTTGATGGCGGATCATACTAGAGGGATCAGTGTGGGGGATACAGTTTGGGGATGTTTCCAGTTCTAGATGGATTTGCCTAGGTATATGAGTAAGGAAGAGTTTTTGTTTTTATTTCAGTTTGAGCTGGCTGTTGATGCTGTGCACAAGAAGGTGCCTGACCAACCAGTAGGGCCCAGGAGGGAAGATATTGTGGATACCATGGTTTTTAAGCCTGCTGATGTCATGTTGGTACATTTCCGCAATGTTGATTTTAACTACGCCACCAAAGGTAGGGCAACCTCCAAATACCAGTTGTGAGGTGATTTGGACTGAGGGGAAAGACTTTAGATATTTTTTTCTCTCTGACATTATTTCCCACTTTGTGTCACAGATAAGTTCACAGATTCTGCTATTGCCATGAATTCGAAGGTGAACGGGGAGCATAAAGAGAAGGTGCTACAGCGCTGGGAAGGGGGAGACAGCAACAGTGATGATTATGACTTGGAATCTGACATGGTAAATGTTTTGACCTAGTTGAGGCTGCAGAAGAAGATTTTTCGGGGCTGGTGCTCTGCTAGGCTGTTCTTGTAGCAGTGACACCACAAACAGTTTGAAGATTATTGTGCCTGTCATTTCAGTCTAATGGCTGGGACCCAAATGAGATGTTCAAGTTCAACGAGGAAAATTATGGTGTGAAGACTACCTATGATAGTAGCCTCTCCTCCTATACGTAAGTTAAAATTTCAAATATCTTTGCCCATCTCGGGGAGATAGAGTTGGCTGAAGTTCCTTGGCACTTCTTGCTAAGAACTAGAATGATTGGCTTATTCATATTTGAGGGTGAAGTTCTAGAGTGCAGTGGTTTTTAGAGCATTACCACTTTAGAAATCTTATCTATTCCTGATTCATTTGTCCTTACTCCATTCAGTAGCCCTGTGTAGTCTGAGTCACAGGAGCATTGTATCAGGTGCCATACATTTATTCAAAATAAGCTCTTGTACAGAAATCTAAAATGCTCTTGGTGTTCATTGTGTATCCTGCTATCCAGTTTGGGCTTGGCAGAATGTAGTTTGCCACCTGAGGGATTATATAGGCACCTACCAGCTACTTTTTAATCAGAAAGCAGTTTTTGATCTTTCCACATCCAGCAAAACAAAACTTTTCAGCTGTTCCACTATTGAAGGATTCTTTGTACTGACCTCTGATGTGCTCTCATGTTCATGTGTAGATCCATGCCAATAAACACTATAAGCAGGAAGACTTAATAAGTTCCTTCTCTAATTTTGTTACTTCTTAATATGAAAAAAACCCTACTTAATTCATGACAAAAAGATAATTTTGTTAGGCATGCTTATATAGAAAGTAGATGTGGTGGAGTTAGATCAACATCTGAGGCCTTTTTTTAAGCTAAACAAAGGCCTTGGACTACTGGAAACAGGAATATATTTATCCAGAATAGAGGTTGGGATGAAATTGCATTTTTCTCTTTCTTATGAAGCAGCAGGTATATGTTCCTAGAAGATGATAGTATGTGCTTCTCTCACATTTTTAGTCTTCACCCTTGCTCCATTTGTGCTTGGCAGAGTCCCTCTCGAAAAGGACAACTCTGAGGAGTTCCGGCAGCGAGAAGCCAGGGCTGCCCAACTGGCTCGGGAGATTGAGTCGAGTCCACAGTATCGACTGCGCATTGCCATGGAAAACGATGATGGGCGCACAGAAGAAGAGAAGCACAGTTCTGTGCAAAGACAGGTGTCGGGCAGAGACAGCCCCAGTCTGGTTTCCAGGTGAGCTGCTAGTATTATGGAACAAGTGAAAATACATCTACTTGCACTTTAAGATTGCCAACAAAGGGACTTTTCTGATGGCCTCTTCAACCTGTGTCTCACGGGATGTCAAAACAGGAGGGCATTATTTTCTGCTGCCATATCCATGTTTTGATATGCTTTCCCAAGACTAGCTTGCCTGGTGATCTTCTTAATACATCCTTGTAGACAAAATCTTTTAAATTTTTCTTCCATGCTTTTAAATATTTTGCTTCAATGTTTATAGAGTCTTGATTCATTTCAGTAATGTATAAGTAATAAGTTCACGTTCTGTTTATGTACGTAAGTTATGAAGTGTTTTTAAGTCCTACATGATTGCTGTTGTGATTTTGTTTGAGCTAGGTCTCATTTGTGACTGTTAGTTAACTAAGTTGTATATTGTGATGTGCTATCAGTTGCCATTCAGACAATACTGAGTTGTCACAGGATACTTTATGAATAAAATAAACTATAGATTCAGTTTGAGTATATATGAATTAACTATAAGTATGTATGTGGGACAGGAAGCAACAGTTAGAACTGGATATAGAACAGCTGATTGGTTCAAAATTGGGAAAGGAGTACAACAAAACTGTATATTGTCCCCCTGCTTATTTAACTTATATGCAGAATATATTATGCAAAAGACAGGACTGGATGAATCCCAAGGCGGAATTAAGATTGTCGGAAGAAATATCAACAACCTCCGATATGCAGATGATACCACTCTGATGGCAGAAAGTGAGGAGGAATTAAAGAACCTTGTAATGAGGGTGAAAGACGAGAGTGCAAAAAACGGTCTGAAACTCAACATCAAAAAAACTAAGATCATGGCCACTGGTCCCATCACCTCCTGGGAAATAGAAGGGGAAGATATGGAGGCAGTGACAGATTTTACTTTCTTGGGCTCCATGATCACTGCAGATGGTGACAGCAGCCACGCAATTAAAAGACGTCTGCTTCTTGGGAGGAAAGCGATGACAAGCCTCAACAGCATCTTAAAAAGCAGAGACATCACCTTGCGACAAAGGTCCGCATAGTCAAAGCTATGGTTTTTTCAAGTAGCGATGTATGGAAGTGAGAGCTGGACCATAAAGAAGGCTGACTGCCAAAGAATTGATGCTTTTGAATTGTGTGCTGGAGGAGACTCTTGAGAGTCCCCTGGACTGCAAAGAGAACAAACCTATCCATTTTGATGGAAATTAAGCCTGAGTGCTCACTGGAAGGACAGATCCTGAATCTGAGGCTCCAATACTTTGGCCATTTCATGAGAAGAGAAGACTCCCTGGAAAAGACCCTGAAGTTGGGAAAGTGTGAAGGCAAGAGGAGAAGGGGACGACAGAAGACGAGATGGTTGGACAGTGTCACCGAAGCTACCAACATTAATTTGATGTAACTCCAGGAGGCAGTGGAAGACAGGAGGGCCTGGTGTGCTCTGGTCCATGGGGCCACCAAGAGTCAGACACGACTTAACAACTAAACAACGTATGGGTCTGTAGAAAGTGAGTGTTGTTCAGGGCTTGTTTTTTAGGAAATAGTGGCCTTCTCTAGCTTAAGGCACAGTTTTCATTTGCTCTTGGATATTTGTACATGCTTTAGGAGGAGAAATTATAACAGAAATATCCTTTTTCAAACTTGGCACCTGGAAATTTGCTTATTGAATACAACTGAGGGCTTGCCGATCTATAGGTACAGATACGCCCTTGAATCTTTGGCTGAAATTCATGGTCTATTTTTCCTCATTGCTTTGATCCCAAGCTGTGTGAAACTGAAAGTTCTCATGGTATTTTTTGGTTCTGCAGAGACGGCAAGTACATACCGCTTCCCCAGCGCGTCAGAGAAGGTTCACGAGGAGGTGTACGCTGCAGCAGTTCTCGTGGTGGGAGGGCAGGCATGGGCTCTTTACCACCCCGTGGAAGCACCCATCATTCAGAAAGCAATGCCAGCTCCATGCCAGAGCAACGAGGCATCAATGGAGGTGAGGCTAAACTTAGACTTTGAAATTGAAACACCTGAATGGATTGATTTTGTGGACTGATGCCTGTATCTGCTTAGTCTGTATCGGATTGAGGTGCCTCTCGCGGCTGTGGAAATTTATTCATTTGTATATTGCCAGAAAATATTTCTTTATATTCAGTTATCTTTTAGATTTTTGAAAGCAAAAAGAAAATCAGCAAAGGAACACCGCAGTAAGCAAAAATGTTTTGTATGCTTGCATAGTTGGTGTTCATCTGCTCCTCTGGCTGGCTTTTTCTAGGTCCATCCAGAATGTCTCCCAAGTCCCAGCGACCGATCCGGGGAGCCAAGAGCATGTCTTCCCCCTCCAGCCGCCCCATGGAAGTATCAGCCCCGTCTCCCACAGGTACAACAGAAAATGGGGTTGTTAAGGGGGTTGTTTCTGAATACATACTCTGTGTAAGAGAATGGGCTAGGTGTTAATGGTTGTTAAATCTGATTGCGAGGTCTTTTCCACACAGTGGGCCGTGTCTATACTCCACGTTCTCCAAAGTCTGCCTCAGCTGTGCCCGCCTGTTCCCAGGATCCCCCCGTGGGATCGACTGCCCCTCCTGCTCCTGCTTCACCCTCTGAATCGAGGCCTGCCACGGAGTCAAGCGCTTCTCCAACCCCACCTTCACCCAAGGTTCCACCATCTGCTCCTGTAGCTGCTGTTGAGGGTAAGGAGTCACACTTGAGGTGAAGTGAACTGGGATCTCTCTTGGTCAGCAAAGAATGGAACTGGGCACTGCAATTCCTTCAGGTGTTTGCTCTTTTCCAGAGAAATGTTCCACCCCCCTAATAGAGCTGCTCCATGTTTCAAAATAATGAGTTTTGATCAGGTGGTAGGTGAAACCAGGCTACATCCCTGCTGAAGAAAGTGGATGTGACTTTGAGTAGTTTTTGAAAGTCCTTGGGAAATGAGCAGGTTGTCAAGGCTCATTTTTGCCTTTTCCATAACTGAGCCCTTAAACATGTATTTTTCTCTTTCTCTCTGTTTTTATCTCTGAATCTAGTTAAAGAGGTGCCTAGCTGTGCCACCAAAGAACCAAGCAGGACCTTGGAGGTTATGGGGCCCTCAGACTTGGTCAAACAGGCAAATAAAGGTTGGCATCTTCTGTGCTTTTCTGAGCTCTCCACTTGCTGATTTCTTTTTCCCAACTCAAAATTGTAGTGTTAGATTTTCTGCTTCTTGAGTAGCCTCTTATTTGAAGATCCTTTTGAGTGATTGCTGTGGATTTGTCTTCACATCTCATTAAAGGGGGCAATTATTACTGTACAGGATTCATTCGATAGAGTAGGGATGGTGCGGTTGGACTGCATTTCCCCTAATATGTGATCATGAGGTATAGTTGGTATGACTGTTAAAGGTCAAAAAGTACAAAGGGGCCTGCTCCTGTAGTAGAACTGGAATCATAACTAATTCTGCAAGTGCTTTTACGTTTTGGGGGTTCTAACATGTTTGGTTATTGAATTTTCCCAACAACCTTTTCTAGGTCTCCAAAATGAACAGAAGAGGAATCAGTTAGAAGAGCTGCGCAAGTTTGGGGCCCAGTTTAAGGTGAGTGTTCTCATCTCCCCTCCACACACTTTATGGGTGAGGGAATTGTGTATTCCTGGCCACACTGGCTTATCCTCTTCTCTGTTTCCTCCAAGTTGCAGCCCAGTACCTCTCCAGAGTCCACCCTTGACCCTTTCAGGCCCAAGGAGCCCCTTGAAGGAAAAGTGAAGGACAAGCCTCCAGAGACATTAGTTGGGGCAGGAAGTGTATGTGAGGTACCTGATGAGTCTTCTAAACCTAGCATGGAGCTGTCTGAAGTTAGCGGCAAGGAAGAGAAAGGGCCCTGTGAAGGAATGGAGCGCCAGACCCAGACAGCAAGCCCTCTGGGCAAAAGTGACACAGATGACAAGGAGGATGGCCCTGTCTCTGAGTAAGTCGACGGGAAGAGCTGTAGTTTATAGGCTGTTGCTGCACTTTTCCTGTGTGATTCTTTTCTATTTCTAATGTTTTTATTTCTTTTAGGCAGGTGAAGAAGTCAACACTGAACCCTAACGCAAAGGAGTTCAACCCTTCAAAGACTCTCCTGTCTGTGGTATGCAACTAGAAAACTAGCTCTGAGGTTAAGGGTTGCATGGAAGGCATTGAGGGTGGGCATGAGCTGAGCTTTTCTGCAAAGGACAAGAACACTTTGAGATGTGTTGCTCTTTTTACTTCTTGCTCCAGGCAGGAATACGCTGAGTGGTCAAGAGTCCCACTGTACTCTGTTTTTAACACAGATATTGTTTTAATAATTGTCTCTGTAATAACAACTGTGGTTTTTCTGTCTTTCCAGAATAAGTCAACAAGTACGCCCACATCACCAGGACCACGTACCCATTCAACGCCCTCCATCCCTGTTATTACCCCAGGGCAGAGTGGCATGTACAGTGCACAGTACATCTCTTATATCCCACAGATACACATGAGCCCAGCTGTGCAGGTGAATGGGTGGGGAAGTTTTGGTTGATTGGTGGCTAGTTATGCCTTTGCATTCAAGGGTGGGTTTTAGAATCTTCAGTTCCTTCCAAATTATGAAAGGGAGAATCATGCTAGAGTTAATTGATTTGTTCCTGTTTTCTCCAGGCTCCCCAGATGTACCCCTATCCTGTTTCTAATTCTGTGCCTGGACAGCAGGGCAAATATCGAGGAGCTAAAGGTGGGTGGTAACCTCTTGTTACTGCTTGAAGGGGCCATGGACCTACTGTACCCACCCTTCACTCTGAAGGAGAGCATGGACCTAAATTAGGTTTCTTACTTTCCTTCTTTTCTGCACAGGGACCCTGCCACCGCAGCGTTCAGACCAGCACCAGCCAACCTCAGCCCCTCCTATTATGCAGGCGGCGGCAGCTGCTGGCCCCCCTTTGGTGGCTGCCACTCCATACTCCTCATACATCTCCTACAACCCTCAGCAGTTTACAGGGCAGCCCACCATGATGCAGCCCATGGCACACTATCCCTCGCAGGTGGGTACGAGGTGTGCTGTAGTAGAAAAAGAAACAGGTGCAGTAGTGTGTGTGTGTGTGTAGATGTGTGCATTCCCATACTTCTAATTAATGTTCTTCTCTGCAGCCCGTCTTTGCCCCCATGTTGCAGAGCAATCCACGTATGATGGCGTCTGGCAGCCATCCCCAGGCCATTGTCTCCTCCTCTACTCCCCAGTATCCGCCAGCAGAGCAACCTGCACCCCAGCCTCTTTATGGTGAGTTGGTCCTCAACTGAAGACATGTCCACTCAGAACTTTTCTTCTCTATCTCCTTTGCATTGTTGATTGCCGCTTGCTGCTTCTCTCCCCAGCCACAGTGCATCAGACGTATCCTCACCATGCCACACAGCTGCATCCACATCAGCCTCAGCCAGCTACCACACCCACGGGCAACCAACAGCAAGCGCAACATGCTGCCCCCAGCCCTGTGCAGGTACTATGGGGGAACTGGGAGCATAGGATATGGGTTACTATTATGGGAAACACTGAGTGCTTATCTGGCTTTTGTTCTCTGCATAGTTTGGTTCTCTGTTCGAGATTGGTCTTGGGGCTTATGGGATCCTGCAGTCTGTGATCTGGAAATTGTAGGCAGAATTGGAAAGGAGAGCAAGAAGCCCTGTGTTAGAAGTGAAACTATCACCTTCTCTGTCTGGTCTTGGAGCTGCTGTCAGAGGGAAGCATTGGATATATAATTATGTGTGCCCGCTTGCTCTTTGTATTTTTGAGAAGCATTAATTTTCGCAAGGGAGCAAAGTGGTCCTTGTGGTGCCTTTTGATTTAAACATTAATGCAGGGCCTTCTTTCAGCTAAGGGTGGGACGAGAGGTCCTCTTCTCACTATAGGAAATGAATGTATCATGATATATCCATTGTTTCTTTTGCCATTAGTGAAGAAGGACATTCTGAGAAAGTGGGCTTTATTAAAGTGAACGTTTTAGGGAAGGATTATGCAAAAAATTAAAAAGCCTGTCCCCTCCAAACCCACCAGTGTCAGCTAGGAGAGGCCAACAGCTTGATGCAAACTGTGTCCAAAGGCAGCTTCTGCAGAGACAAAAAGATCCAAACAACACTGGCAGACAAAAGTAGATTTAGACCTTAATGTCGCAACCTTGCAGATCTCTTCAACAGTGCAGCCTGCATTCTTGCCAGAAGGAGTGAATATTTCCCCCAGGCAGTGTTGAACCAGTGACATACTCTAATGCATGCCTGTGACGGGGCATGCTTTTTCCAAGGGAATGGGGGCCACAAATGATATTAGTGTGCCATTTATCATGTTAAAGGAAACCTGGAATCAATATTCAGCTAACAAACATTTATTAAGAACTATTTACACCAGATCTCCACCACACAGTTCATTGCGTTAACCACCAAATGAGCCTTAGTCCAATAAGTCTCTTTCAGACAGCAGGGGAGAGCTACCTTTACCAACCTCACATTCATACAGCCCATATAATTGTTAAGGCTTGCAGACCCTCAGCCTCCCTTCTGTAATGTCTGGCCCATTGACACAAGGATTTGAATTGCTGCCTACAGCAGAAGGAATCTTACTGGGTTGGGAGTTAAGTCCTCTTGGTCTACCAGATCTGTCCTTGACTCAAGACACAAGCTTCGATCCAGTCTTGGTTTTGACGGGCTCCTTAGAGTTTTCAGTTATGAGCCCCTTCAGTAATAGAGGAAAGAGCTAAGGGAGGATTGTACTCAGCAGTGTCTGAATCTTCCCCACTCCTCTTTGGGGCATCTGCCCAATCCTTAGTTTTACTCTTCCCCCTTCTCTTTCACAATGACTGCCCCAAGTTCTTCCTCATTCTCCCATTTATTCTCCTCCTGTTGGGAAATTCCCTTGGCAGGCTTTTTCCTGCCTTTCTCACTTTCCAGCCCCTCAAAGTCCCCCCAGCTTCCCGGTTACAGTGGAGAGTTCATTCCAGGGTAATGCCCAGGAGAAGGGATCCACCCTGTGCCTGCCTGCTGTCCTTGGCAGGGACCTTTGGAGGGCTAGTGAAATGAGGAGGTAAATTCTTCCTTGGGTGTCCAAGCTCATTGGCTCACAATGCCTTATTCATCTAGTCTGTATAACTTATCTATCGCAGAATGATGCAAAACAACAGACATGTAACCTGATTTTATGAACTGTGTAGACTTCTTAATGTAGATTTTTATGGAGGTTGTGCCAGTTTGTTTTTCCTAGAGGTCTGGAAGTATGAGAACAAAAATAATCTCTCAGGATTGCCTCTTCCTTTTGAAGGCTTCCTTGAGAGCTCTAATTGAATATTCAGTTCCTTTTTTCAGAAGAAAGTAGGAAGGGCAACCTTTCTGTTCAGGATGTCCCCTCACTACAGGGAATCTGTAAGGTACATTATCTCAGATAATCTGCTCCTGGTATTGGAGGTTTGAGCTACCTCAAAGTTGGGGGCCAATGGTAGAAATCCACATGTGTTCAGGTTTTATTGTGAAGAATATCAATAGTAAATTGAATTCAGGGAAACAGAATATTTTTTATTCCCTTTAAATCTGTTGTTCTGGTTTAGGGGCAGAAAAGTCCCATTTAGTTGGACTTTTTGCAGCTGGCAGCCTGGACCATTTTACTGATAACTGTTTTATCTTTTTATTGTATTTTAATTGTTATAAGCCGCCCAGAGACCTTTGGGTAGTGTGGGCAGCATTTAAGTTAAATAAATAAAATAAGCTTTCAAATGTGCTTAAAACTATCAGTATTAGAATTCATTTCACAATATAAATTTTCAGTGTTTTCATGTTATCTATTTTTAACAAGCCTTTTGGCAACAGATCTCAAGGTAAACTATAATCAGGAAAATCAAATTAAAATATTTTAAATACTTCATAACAATTTTAAATATCCTCGTGTTTGTAGTTATGCTTATTTGTAGCTCTTTTTCAACTTTGTGATGGGCTTCATTGAGTTGTAATTTTGGAAGAGAGAAAGAATATAATGGAAAATAAATAGAATATTTAGTGTACAGGCACACAGGAAGAGGGAGAGACGTTTTCTAGAACATGTATTCATAGAGTACCTAAACCTTGTCAAAAGATGGGAAAAGAGGTGGTTCGAGGGTGGATGTGATGCAAAGTTCAAGTACTTAATCAGGGTTTGGCTCCCCCCCCCTTTTCTGTCATAGCACCAGGCTGGACAGCCACCTCATTTGGCCAGTGCCCAGCAACAGCAGAATTTGTACCACACTGCCGCACTGACAGGAACACCACCTTCCATAACACCAGGGCCCAGTGCTCAGTCTCCACAGAGCAGTTTCCCCCAGCAGGCAGTGTATGCTATCCATGCCCACCAGCAGCTGCAGCACAGCTACACCAACATGGCCCATGTCACCCAGGTAAGTGTTTTCAGCTTTTCAGGTGGGTAAGTTTTAGGGAGTAACAGTCTGTGATTATTTCAGTTTAATGTTTCAGAACCTTGGGATGGGATATGGCCAGCTAAGTCTTAATATTCAGTAGCATTTGGTTTTGGGAGGAGATGAAATGGAAGGAAATCCATGTTCAGGGGGAAATGGTTTTGTAATTTGTGGCATTTTAGAAAATTGTACCCATTGGTTGTAAATATTGAAATACAATACATGAGCAAAGTCTTGTGGCACCTTGAAAACTAACTTATTACATCAAAAGCATACATGGATTAGATTCTACTTCATCTATCAGTTTTTTCTGTTGGCAGATTTATACGTGGGATGGTTCAAAAATGTGTAGATACTAAGACTGCGTAAGCCTCCCCCCCCCCCCCCGTTCTCTGGCAGTTGGGGCCCACAAATAGATCCTGATTCAGTCCAAAGTGATTTGTGCCCTGTTGTGTTTATCCCCAAGTCTGAATCTGTCTGTAAACCTTCCATTGACTTGCACGGGAATTTGAGCAAAGCTGTAACTTTGCTGTTTTTGTACAAAATTTCATGTACATGAAATTTGAAGGCATGATAAACAAGAAAGAGTGGAGTAACCCTGCCAGAGTTTAGACAGCTAACCTCAGTGGTTTGTGTACTTGGTTCCTTTAAAGTTTGCTTTTTAAAAAGGCCAATTATTGTGTTTCATCCAATTGATTGTGTACTTGCATAGAAATAGTCTGGTAGATTTGCTTTCACCCAGAACTGAATCCAGCCATTCCACTTTATATCAGTCTAATTCGTTCAGTAATTTGGGATGTCTCCATATATGGCCCACAGCCCTAATAGACGTTGAGGTTAGAGAGAAATGAAATGTGGTATGATAGGCTGTGACATTATCCTTAAACGTATGTAAAAGATTGTCATCTTGCACAAAGAAGTCTTTGTCTTACCATTTTCCACTCAGTTAAGAGCCTGAGCCTAGATCAATCGATTCAGCTGGCTCAGATATTGAACTGTATGGGACTACACAGTGGAGATACAAAAGCATTACCATTAAGGGCTGCAACACATCAAGATCACAATTCCCCTGTTACAGTTAATCCAATACTGACTCACAATTTAAGAATGAATTTACACCTGACAAATTCTTAGACTAAAATACTCTAGGCTATGAAGTGGAAAAAACAGATCAACAAGGCCAAACTGGTAATTAGCGAATAATGTAGTATAGAAGAAAGAGTTATGGATACCACAACTTGTCACATGCAACTGGCGACTGAACCAACACTTATGTGTTACAAGGAATTATTCTGTTTTTAGTTAGCTTATTAATCAGATGACAGTTACATTTGCCAAATAAGAGTTGGGTTAATTATTACCATAACAGCAAAGGCAACTCCTGACTGCCAAAATGGAACACCAGTAGCATTTTCTTTCTACAGCATAATCTCTGTATTATTGGTGATCAGTGGCCCATTCTGGACGTGAAGCATTAGTCTCATAGGCCTTCTGCAGTAGGCTAATAACGGGTCATTAAAAAATCTAACACAAAGCCCAGACCTCATAGTAAATCCAGAGGCCATTTCTTTCTTCATTCTTAATGTAACATGGTTACCAAACATGTCATCCACAACAAGGGTTTTCATTTGTTCATCTTTCAATTTGATGTAAATTTTCACTGCCAGCAATCTTTTTTTGCATTGTACACATACAAAGAAGTCGACATAAGGTATATCTGGGGGCAGTGTGAAGAATATTTCCCTTTCACAGACACTTTGTTAAGGACCGACCTTGAAGTGACCATTAAACAACGGAAGTTGAAAGGGGGACTTAAGCATAAAAGTAAACTAAAATTGCAGCTTGGTCGTTTACAAATGTAAATACAAAGCATCCTAGAAAAAATGTTGATTTCTGTCACCCATTGTCTGAATTGACATGGGATTTAATCTCACCACAGGTATTTGACACTTGCTACTTTTAGGATGTGGTATTATTAGCAGTGGTGAATGAGCACTTGATTGTTTTCTGTTTTACTGTTAATGCAGTTGTCACAGCATGTCCCTTGACTGTTTCATTTGCATGTTTGTCAATTTAGGATAACAGTACTCCAGTGCATGATCATATATGCCATAATATCAGGCATTTTAAAATGATGCAAAATACTTATGTTGTGTATGATGCTAGGCCCTGTGGTAGACAGTCCAGGCTTGTCTGATCTTGGCCCTTTAACAACCTCCCTCTTGGTGTCCTGTGTGGGAAGTTTTAGTCTTAGTCTAAAGTTCCATCTTGTGGCTATTAAGGGATACATCACTGGTGTTTAGCATAATCAAGCTATTGTAGTATAAAGATGCATTGTTCTATGATTTTCTCTCTGCGCATGTGTGGAATGTGTAGAAAAGATAAGTTTCTCGACCCTCTTTGGCTAAATCTTCTCTTTATGTAAATGATGGTACTTAATAAAAAAAGACATGCCTCCGGAGAAGAAGGTAGACATTTTGTAGACATTTTAGAGATATTTTAGAGACAGTTTGGAGACATTTTACAGGCAGACATCTTCACCGGTGACATGCATTATAACCAAAGACTGTAGTCTGTCTTCATTTATCAGAGATCTCGCCCTGGTTTTCATGCAACTGCTGCTTGGGCTGGCTTCCAAGCAGGGTTCCCTGGGGATTTCCCCACAGTCCTGAATGATTTTGTTCTGCTGGCACAGTTCCATCCCATCCCCAGCTTGCCTCCCACTGGCCTATTTGAAATCTGTTTCTTGCCATGACCACTGCTGACTTAAGAAAAGTGGTTACACTTCTCCCAAGACAGCACAAGTAACTCATTTTTAGAACCTTTAACCCTTTTGTATTGAGCAGCATGGGGAGAATTTTTGTCTTGGGGCTTTACATAGAGCATAATCCAAATTGTACTTTGGTGGGGGCATTGACTTCTTGGTTCTGTTGGGATCCAATCCAAAATTTTTTGTTCTCCACATTGGTATGTTTTGTTCCTCCTCTATAGTCATATCTTCTCCACCTGAAGAAAATCTTGTTAGTTAACATACTTAAGCCAAAGTCAAGCACTAGCTGTACTTCAGTTGAAGTCAGTGCCCAAAGCAACCCACCTTGCACCTCTTACCTACTGTACTGTGGTGTGGTGCAGGTCTGTACTCCTTGCCATGGGTGGTGAACAGTTTGCTTCTCTTTTTGAGATGTTTTTCACTGCATTGGGAAGCATTCTGTTTGGAGCTTCTGGAAGATACATCATCTGATTATCCACAAAGGGGCTGTTTCGTTCCAGAATTCAGTGCCCAAAGCAACCCACCTTGCACCTCTTACCTACTGTACTGTGGTGTGGTGCAGGTCTGTACTCCTTGCCATGGGTGGTGAACAGTTTGCTTCTCTTTTTGAGATGTTTTTCACTGCATTGGGAAGCATTCTGTTTGGAGCTTCTGGAAGATACATTATCTGATTATCCACAAAGGGGCTGTTTCATTCCAGAATGTAATCTAGAGTCCCCATACAGGCCCCAGCTGTGCAGTATGTTTCCATCTTTCTCCATCACTGGGCAAGATATTTCTGTAATTGGACCATTTTTAAACCTTCCAAAAATGCAGGGGTGGATACTTGCTGGCTGTGTAGTGCACATGCATGCACTTCAGAGGTTGAGCCATGTTGGGGAAAGGGCATAAACGTAGGGAAGTAGGTACGTTTACCTACTAGGGCGTGGAAGTGGAGAAAAGGGAAAAAGCACAGCTTTCTGAAAAAGCTGTCTAGGTGAGTGCCTGAGATATGACCTCCTCCATGGATCCTGTTTCTTCATAGTGATCTTTTCAGAACTTCCAGAGCACTTTCATCCGAGTCTGCTAAAGGGGATCGGAAGAGATTGCTTGTCGCTGCTGAGTAGATTTCAGCTCAACAGGCGGTTCAGGCAACGTGACAGTGACAGCACCCTGTCACCTGAGAACCTTTTTGCAGACTGCTCTTGCCACCCACCTCGTGTTTCAAGGCAGTCTGCTGAAGACCAAACCATGGATGCAGATATGGGGCCTGCCCTCTTCTCCACTGTGGTGGATGGGCTGAAAACACTCATGTCTTCTCTACAGGCCCACGTCCAGACTGGAATTGCAGCTGCCCCGCCACCTCACCCTGGAGCTCCACAGGTCATGCTGCTGCATCCCTCGCAGACTCATGGAGGGCCCCCCCAAGGAGGTGTGCCCCAGAGTGGCGTGCCGACCCTCTCAGCTTCCACACCCTCCCCCTACACTTATATAGGGCACCACCAAGGTAAGTCAAAACCATAGGGAGAAGCTGTAATGGGTAGACTCTTGTCTCGAAGGGTGCCACAGGTCATGGCTGTGTGGTCCTGAGCCAAGGTGATGGATTTGGTTGTCCATGAGATGGCGGGAGGGCTGGTGGTTTTGCACTGTGTCTGTATCTTACTGTTCTTCAGTGCCTCTTTCTTTTTCTCGTTCCAGTTCAATCTCATCCCTCCCAGCAGCTTCCATTCCACACTCCTGGGAACTGATGTCCACACTTCTCCTTGTGACCTGAGACCCCAGCCAGCCTTGGCTCTGTTGCTGGCCCAAAGGCCTGGGCCATCCTCAAGCCCATGGTAGAGGCCCCTGGAGGGGCGCAGTCTGGCCCGGCCCATCTCCCCCCCTCACCAAGCACCTTCCTTTCCGTTGGTTTAGTGAAGCCCGTGCTGGGCACCGTCAGCCAGCGGGACGGAGCAGGGCCCCGTTCCCATGCCTGGAGAAGGGCAGAGTGTTTTTTTTCCTGTTATTTATGACTCCATTTGGGCTCCTAGAGCAAACGCCACTTTCCCACATAACTTGACAAGGACATGACCAGATGGACAAACCTTGACTTTTTATTAAGTAAAAATATTTAAAAAGTAAAAAAAAACAACAAAAAAATCAATAAAATTTTAAACTAACTAATGTTGGGCTTGGGATGACTGTGTGGGAAGCAGCTCACTATTAAAAGGTGAATCTTTCTTTGGTTCTACAGAAGGTGGCCAGGGTAGGGGGCCTCTTGAGCTTTGCAGAGTTTGTAGCTTGCCCCAGCTTCCAGGACTGTTTGCAAGGATGGGCAGTTGAAACTCTGTATCCAACTCATTCCTGGTTGCATTGCTCTGTTCTTTCCCCTCTGGAAGTAATCACCAGGGTGGGTAGTAATTGGGTGGTAGTGACATAGAGCCAAAAGCAGTGGTTCTTACTGCTGGGGATACATATGTGACAGGAGTATGCACTATGGCCCAATATATATTTTTTTTAATGAATAAATTTTTAACTTGCTTTTATTGAAATAAACATATTACATTAAGTCCGGAGGACATTAACGGCAGAAGGTGATTTCCTGGTACCATGGTTCCCAACTTTGGATCCCCAGATATTCTTGGATTAAAACTGCCAGAAGCTTTCATCACTAGCTGTGCCAGTCAGGATTTCTGGGAATTGTTGTCCAAGAACATCTGGAACCCCAAGGTTGAGAACCACTGCAGAATACATGGATGAGCCCCTATTAGATTGAGGTCCTTCAATAGAGCCTTGGCAGGATTTCAGTCTTTCGAAGCTTGTTAAAGTAGAAAGCACAGACCGGTGTGAATGTGTTTGTTTTTTTAACATGGAGTTCATTTTGGAACAGGTAAGCCCAATCTTAATGCTCTTAGTGCCCCAGCCAGTGAGCTTCTGTAAAAAAATTGATTAAATAATTGCAGATTCAGTTCTATGGCTTGGGCTTTGAGCTTTTCTTGAGCTGCCACAGGACTCATCTTTGAGAAGTTCCGCCTTTTTAAAATTTGAGAGCCTATTGAGATGCTTCATTTTTCAGTGGAGAAAGACATTCTGTACTTAGGGTTGCCCCTGTAACAGGTGCTTTTCCATGGAGCTTTTGTGCAAGATCCCCATGGTCACAGTCTCAGCCTGCAACCGGAGTGTATGAGGCAGTAGTCTGAAAACAGCTAGGGCTATTACAGTCTTGCAAATTAAGGAGCAGCATGTGACCCATTTCTTATCTCCTTTCTGATGAAAATATCAAGTACAGGATAAAGGTGTACCTTGACAATTGAAATAAAATTCTAGCAATTTGTCCTCTTTGACCATTCTCTCTCTCTGCCAATCATATTTGTGAAATAAAATTTGACATGCTATTAGGTTGAAAATGTATGAATAGACTTGTATCAGAAATGTTGAATTACTGCCTTGTGTACCCTATTTAATCTAGGTTGTATATACTGTAGTATGGAAAATTCAGCATTATTGAATCTTTCCTTTTGGCATGTGCCTTTGTTTAGGAAAGCAAAGATACATGTAGGCACATTTTCAAAGGCTCTTAAAGGCCAGTGTTGAAGATTCCTGTCATACAGTTCTCTACTCTGTAGTTTTTTTTTTCTGGGTGCAGGAGAAATAAGTTTTCAGAGCCCTGCCTATATGTGCTCTTGATTTACAAGATTCTGCTGCCAAATAGTTACAATTGAGATATTTTAACAGAAGCACCTGGAAATGAACTGGAAGTTTTAGACTGTACATAAGGTCACTGTTGGTTTTAATTAAGGAATTTCATTTTGTCTTAGGAGAATCATATTTCAAATATGTTCTTCCTGAGTTGCAACTTAAAATACCAAACTTTGCTTCTCTTGTGTGAGAAGAGAGGGCAGCATTATGTGGAGATGGACTGTTACAATTAATAGGAAAAAAATCAGAAACACGAAGAGGGGACACTAATCTGCAGCACCTTCCTTCCCACAGATAATTCTTACTGAGCCTCCCATGAAAGAGAGTAGTTCTCAGATTTTTCATTAATAAGCTGTTCGGATGGGTAAGAGTCCTCTGCTCCTTGAGTGGAAAATACACTTGAGTATACAGTATGGAATTAGGAAGTTGGTACTTCTGATTTACTCAGCCAGTAACTTAGTCCTGAGATGCTAATAAGGTTACAAAACCTTCTGCAGGAACAAGCAGATATGCTAGGACTGCCTGTCAGACATTCTAGCAATTTCCACGTGGTATCTCTACAGGCACTGTGAAGAACCGGCAATGTCTAAAGAGCTGGGTTTGTATGAGTGCTTTGTTCAGCTAATACAGGATGTTACCTTGACACCTCCTCCAAACCTGCTAATCCTAAGAGCCCCAATACAGACATCTGTGGGCTTCCTTATGTATTCTTTGGATCCAAGTCAATCTATTAACATTTCTGAATAATAAAAAGTAGAATCTCTCACAGATTAGAAAAACACTTGACACCCTTAGAGCCAGAGCATTGGTTTAAGTCCTTTATTTTAACAAAACTTCATTGCCACCAATCACCACAAAATACTGTACGCAGCATAGTAGTCACCTCTCCCTCTTGCTAAGACTGGAACACTAGTCATTTACAATTTCCACAAACTGGTGGAGACTTGGTTTGATGCTTGCTGTACACCTCTTCTCCAAAACAGTTTTAATTCCAGATTTCAGTCCATTGGGTGGCTTGCTGCATTGTCACAGAATACACCCCTTGGGAAATACAACTTCTTACTCTTTCCACTGTTCCTCTGGAGTTATTGGAAGTGTTTTTGTGACCACACCAGTGCCAATGGTTTTGCCTCCCTCACGCAGGGTGAATCGTTGCCCCACTTCTAAGACCATGGGAGTCCGCATTACCAGATTAAGTGTGGCATCCTCACCAGGCATCACTAACTCCTGAGAAAAGAGAGATGGGCTGTGAAACTCAGATCAGATACAAAACAGATTAGAAGATACTGAACATTTTAAAGCAGGTTTGGCCAAGTTGCATGCTTCCCCCTTGCCACAAATTCCTACCTAGACCAATGACTAAGTGCATTCTTAGAGGCATGGTCTTGCTTTACCCTCAAAAGAGTGATTCCCCTTAATTTTCTTTCAAAATAATTGCCCCTTTTCAGAGTGAGTAGTCTGCAGCGGCATTCAAGGGGGCAAAATTCGTTCTTAGGCTCTCCAAATCTCTTTCCCAACACACACGCTTTAAACAATACCTTGGAGTCATTAGACTCACTATAGACGGTGATGGACTGAAACCTTCCAGACCTGCTCAAAGAAGAAAAACAGCTTGAGGAAAAAGGAATGGGATAAATGGACAGTGACATACCTTCCCTTCAGGCAACTGTACACGGCAGGCCATATCCCATGTCAGAGAAAACATGATAGGTTGAAAGTTAGATACAAAAGGCTTGTGACGACCACCTTCCTGTTTCGTCAGGACATAAACCTAGGAAAGGAAAGTGATACTTCGCTCAGCTGACACAGCATGACAGAGGAAGAGATACTGCTAGCATATCGCCATCAGAAGCAATGTTTGTCCCAACTAAGCCTTACAGACAGGCATTCACCTGTAAATTGAGTTAGAGAACCCACATTTCCCTTGCAGTGGGAGACATCTTAAACAAATGGGTTGTCCCTCCTATTTGCTTCCTGTATGCAGGAACTGAATAACCCATCAGAATAGGAGAAAGCAACCCTTGAACGATCTGAGTTTTTTTGTCTGGGTGACACATAAATTTAAAGATATATTAGGAACTCAGAATCCAGAAAGAGAAACTTCCTTGAGGTAAAAATGGACCACAACCAAAAAACACACAAAGGAGGATGTTCTCCTCACTACAGAAAATGAACATAGCACAGCAAGTCCAATGTTTCTCTGTACAACTTAATCAGGATGCGACACCTGTATTACCCAGCTCTGTCCTCCATTTCTCTGAGGCATTCCTGCTTCACTTGCATTAAATTCACCTGCATACCTGAGCTTCGACTTTCTCGTGAGGCTGGATGGAGCCTGGCTTGCACATAATCATGCCTCGTCGTAAATCCTCTCGCTTCATTCCCCGTATTAAAGCACCCATGTTGTCTCCAGCTTCTGCTCGTTCCAGTTGCTTGTGAAACATCTCTATGCCTGAAGCCAATAACATGCTGTTACCCTTTACAAACTATTTTGCAGGTTCACAACACTGCCCCCCCAAACTGAATCTTTTCCTCAGTCACAACTGAATTTTCACATGAGGAATACCGTAGCAATAGGGGGATAGTGGGTTCCAGGCACATAAGAAGAACCAACAGGTTACACAATCTTGCAATATATTTATACACACACATATATATGAGACTTGCCTGTAACTACAGAGCGCAATTGCTGACGGTACCCCAGAAATTCACATTCTTCTCCTTTTTTGATCACACCACGTTCGAGCGTGCCTGTCACTACAGTGCCCCGGCCTGGAACAAATAAAACATGTGACGTGGATATATTTAATTACTCAGTTATGTTCCTATTTTGTCTGCTCTCCAGGAAGGACACTTAGCTCAGTAGTTTAGTCATCTGGCTGCAGAACCAGATGTCAGGAGTTCAAATTCCCCATTGTGCTTCCTTGGCAGGGGCTGGACTTGATGACCCATTGCCCTACAGTTCTAAAGATGATGATTACTACCACTACTATCACCACCACCCTGAAAGGCAGCTCAGCCTAATAAAAGCAGCAAGCTTAGGTTATCCAGTACAACCTAGGACCTCAATCTCAAAATCCAAGTCTAAGATTCTTAATCAACTAAACCAATATAAGCAAAGGATAAGGAACAATTGCACCACTATTGACTTCTGATTGGAGTACATGAATCTGAATTCAAAGGTCAACAACCTATGAAGCTTAATACCTGGGACGGAGTAAACATGCTCTATAGGAAGAAGAAAGGGTTTGTCCAAATCACGCTCTGGCACAGGGATGTGTACATCTACTACATCCAACAGCTTCATAACAGAATTCAAGCCCAATTCTGGATTACGATCCTATAAAGAACAAGGAACATAGGAAGGGTGACATAACAGAAATAATTCTTTAAAAAAAAGAATTTTGTGCAAAAGAATCAGACTTGTACAATGCTGACCCACATCCAGCACTGACCTCCAGGGCGCACAGAGCAGAGCCAACAATGACAGGGATATTTGCCCCATCATAGCCAAACTCTGTGAGCAATTCGCGGATCTCCAGCTCAACTAAGTCCAACATCTCTTGATCTTCAACTGCATCAGCCTTGTTGATGTACACGATCATATGCTTCACTCCTATCTGTGGGGAGGGAAGGACAAAATATTGCTTGAACGCTATTCCCACCCAATCCAGCCAGAAGGAAAGATTCCCGGCATTCTTAGAAGACTGTCTGTGCTCACTGCAGTCCACACTTCCACCTACCACCACCACCACCCCAAGCTGAAGTAACGTCACCTGTCTAGCAAGCAGAAGGTGCTCCTTTGTCTGTGGCATCTGTCCGTCTGTGGCAGCCACTACCAGGATGCAGCCATCCAGCGGTGATGTCCCCGTGATCATATTCTACAGAGAAACTGAGAACCCATCAGCAGGTAATTTCACTCTCCCAGAAGCCCCTGGAAAATTCAGCCCACCTCCGCTGACGTGGGATTTTTGAGCATGCCACCCACAGAAAAAGGAAACATGAAAAGTCTTGGCAAATACTTCTTTTCACCCACGTATTTCAAAAGGAACATGGAAGGGGATCTTCTAAATAGGATTCTGGATGAGGAACATGTACATTTTCAGAGGTTACCTTGACATAATCGGCATGGCCAGGGCAATCTGTGTGAGAATAATGGCGGTTGGCTGTTGAATATTCAACATGGGAGGCATTGATTGTGATCCCTCGTGATTTTTCTTCTGGTGCGTTATCGATGTCTTCATATTTCTTGAACTTGGCACTTCCAGCCTCAGCTAGAACTGGAAGGAAGAGAAGAAAGGAGTTAACCAAGTTCCTGAGCCCCCTTTTCTTGGGAATTTGGCAGAACCCTGGCCAGAGCTTAGTAAATTACATTTTTGCACTGACCATGCCAGCTAGAGAATTCTGGGAACTGTGATCCAAAAAACTTTTCCAAGGTCTGCAGTTTAGACTAGAGATGGGCATGAACTGCAGTTTGGTGGATCAGGCCCACAGGTGTTCTGCAGGCACCCTAGATTCCCCTGCCCCACCTCCTCTGAGTGGGTGCCGATGAGAGGAGACGGGACAGGGAACCCTGGGTGCCTGTTAAAACACCTGTGGGCCCAAAGCACCAAAACCTGGCTCACCCCCCTCACTAGTTTAGACACTTCAGCTGCTTCCTTCCTCATGATGTAGATTCTAGAAAGGAGCAGACAACTAAAATGTGCAATGTGGAGAGTCTGCTGCTGACAGTGCTCTTGCCGCAGAAGAGCCAGGAATCTTTAATTTGTGCCTCATGTTGGAAAAAGCAAGAAAGGCATTTGGGGGACTTTTGAGATTGGGACCCTGCTGGAAGTCAGACGAAAAGCTTCTGGGAGTGAGATATGTCCCTTGGTGTCCAGTTCCCTACTCTTAGTCTGGATGGTGTAATGGAAATTAAGCCCACTGTTTTCAGGGAGGCTGGGTTCCTGAGGCTGCTACTGAAGTCAAAAGCTAATTCTCAAGCCAGAACACAGCCTGATATCTCCCTCCTCAAGGCTTTAATTTGGGATTTGGGCCAGTGCTGGAAACTACTAAATGTTCTCCATCTCCTTCTACCTTGGGCTCAAACGACTGGAAGTTCAAACCATCAGAGGATTTATTTACTGACTGGTTAAGGTTCTTCAAAGGGAAAAAAGGTCCCTGCTCTCAAGAATTACAGTATGGGTTTGTTGCGCAGTCAAGTCAGTTCTCAGCATTTCCCTCTTATATATATTTTTCTAGTAACTATTCTGGTCTGGTCCAGACTCTCACTTTTGGTGATGGCTGCTGTTAATGTAGTCTTGCCGTGGTCCACATGCCCAATGGTCCCGATGTTGATATGCGGTTTGTCCCGAACATATACACTCTTTGCTTCAACTGCAAAATTTCGAACAAGAAATTTCTGTCCGTAGAAGGTTGTGCAGGGTAGAGACGGCTGCAGAAGAACAAACAGATGTCAGGATTTGATGGGATTCCTGAATCCTGTGACAAAATCACAACTTTTTATCACACCCCAACTACAAACTAGAATTATTCTTACCAAGGCTAGAATACCTTGCAGGTAGTGAGACCAGCAGCCACGCATGCCTACGAGACATACAAAATGGGCCATCAGTATCATAATGTGAACCTTCTCCATTTGTTAGCAATCATATGGTTTTATGAAGTAGAATGTAATGCTTCATAACAAATAAATTCTTTTAAGACATTCTAATCTCCCTTCCCACCCTCCATGCTTTCCTTTTCATATGAGTACCTTTAATGTTCACAACACATACTTTAGAAAAGCAAAAAATCTATGAGCACTAAGCATTTTCCTGTAGGAAGCTCCTACCCAAGGTTGTTAATTATCTATTAAATCGAAGAGCGAACTCTCCTGGCAGAGAAGCAGCAGCTGTCAGCGGGCCGGGTGATCTACTCATTCTGCCTTTTCCTTTAGAGTTAGATCATAAGTTCAAAGACTTTCCTAATTGTCTGTGATCACCCACATCATTAGCTTTTCTTTGTTCCGTGATCATCTACATCTTCCAAATACAATGAAATTGAACAGCAACATTATTGGCATCTTGTTATATAAAGTAGAAAACAGAAAATGTCTCAATATTCTAACTGTTGCTGATACATTTGTAATCCAATACAGAGTTACTACATTATGGTCAACATTCTATAAGTCTCAACTAAAGTAGGCATGCTGATTCAGTGGGATTTACAGAACTATTTCTTTACCATTCAGCAATTTATTCAGTGGGTCCACTCTTAGTTGGCATTAGCAACAGGATACTAGCATGTGTGTATTATGAGACTATTACAGATCGAGATCAGTAATCGTACTTCCTACTTTATGAGACATATTAGAGTCATATAGAATCAACTGTGGGATGAAATAAGCACTTAAGAGAAAAGCTTCTGCTGTACCATTAAAACCATTTCATCCCACCATGGTGGTAAAAATGGACAGAACCCTCTCAAGCAGCAGAGACAGATATGCTATTTAGGACTAATGGGAGCTGGAGTCTAAGCACAGCCTATGGTAAGGCCTAATATTTTTATTTAAAATAAATAATACAATATTTGTATTCTTGTGAACATCTGCCCTGAATATTTCCTATTTTATTTCAAATATTTATATCTGCAAGCGGGATCTGCAGGCCTTAGGAATGGGCTTCAACAGATGGGAAACCTTGACATCTCAGCGTTCAGCCTGGAGGCAGGCGGTGCATCACGGCCTCTCCCAATTGGAAGAGATCCTTGTTCAGCAGGCAGAGGCAAAGAGGCAGTCCCGAAACCAGCCAAATCAGGGAGCTGGACAGGGGACAGATTGGGTTTGCCTTCAGTGTGGAAGGGATTGTCACTCTCAGATTGGCCTTCTCAGCCACACTAGATGCTGTTCCAAGATCTCTATTCAGAGCATGTTATCATAGTCTCTCGAGACTGAAGGATGGCTCTATATATAGGATCCAAGGTAGCTTACAATATTAAAAAGGAAACAATAACATTTCGTGGAAAAGGTATAAATGTTGTGAGTTCGAGTTCACCCGAAGAGCAGCACCTTACCCATCATGCTTCAAGAGCAACCAGTACAAGACCAGGCGAAGCGTTCGCAGCACCTTTGCCCCGCCCCCTCGGCTACCGTAATCAGCCTAAAACTCACGCCACCTTCTGAGGCCGAAATCTTTACAAGGGCACCAAAGGGGGGCCCCTCCACCTTGGGATAACCCGCCACAGAGATCCNNCCCCCCCCCCCCCCGCAGCAGGCCATGGAAAAGAGGCGGCAACCTGGGCTGCCTCCCGCAGATTCACGTATCGGGGGAGAGACACACGTGCTTCTGCGGGAGGCCACCCAAGCTGTAGCATCCTGTCCGCATTACTGCTTTTTTTTTGGGGGGGGGGGAGATCGCAAAGAGCGTGTGAAGGCCAACCCGCGCCCCTGAACCATGTAAGGCCTTGCCGCCGTATTGAACCGAATACGAGGACCCAGACACAAAAGGTCACGAGCTCTTGCCTCTCTGCACGCTACATGAAGCTCTACATGAAGGAGAATCATCTTCCGTTTCTCGTTTCCCCACCCCGCCCCCGCCCCTCCTGCTCGGACGCTATACTTCTCCATCCTT